ATCTGTAATTCTCCATTTATACCATGCGTAGCATCATATTCATAATTCCAAAGCTTTTTAAAAAATAATTTAATTTATAACTTTACTTTATTTATAAACCATTACATATTTTATTATTATTTTCTCGAACAACTTTGTTTTGATTCATGAATCCACTTATATAAGTATTCTTTTATAAAATGTATGTCAGTGTAACGATCCAACTCCATAGCCAGCAAATATTATCCTCTTTAAACTTTTCTTTTCGAGTTTTAAAAATGCGTATGCTAAGGAGAAGTATTCACTCTTATAAATAATGTTTTGTTCTCCTCATCAACCGATGTGAACCTCACAATTAGTCTCGTAAATAATGTATGTCGTGCATCATCATATGAAAAAGGTATCCACTTAATGGGTTCACGTGCATGTGTACGAGACGTGTATAGAGAAGTTTTATGTATCGAAACCGACTTGAGAATGAAATTTGAAGCTATAAACATGAAACCATAGTTGTACGTGTTTGTACTTTTCGATTCTAATGATAAGATCACTTACGACATGTTTTGAAATACTCGTTCTATTATTAACTATTTGTCGTGATTATATGCAAATTAATTAGTATTAAACTTTATCAATGCTAAAAGGCAACTTTTAAAAGAGATACCTTACGTAATTAACCTTTATAGAAAATGTTGTATCATAATTGTGATCACTTTTATAAGAAATTTCTTTTATTATTATTATTATTATTATTATTTTGGCTTATTTCATAAGACTTTATGTCACACCTTCCATGTAAAGTAATAATATATTATTATTTCATAAGAATATTTAATCTTTGTATTTTATATTTTATAATAATTTAGTCTATAAATTAATTACGTAACAGCGTAATTCTTATCATAAAATTATTGTTAAGATTTAATAAAATAAAAGAATAAGTATGCACAGACAAGTTATGAGATCTCATGTCGTTTGGAGAAGAGAACGAAGCATTCGGTGTGAAAATCTCTCCGTACTGTTTTAAAAACCTTGAAGAGAAACCCGAAACGAAAAGTTAAAAGATGACAATATCTGCTAGTAATGGGTTTAAGTCATTACAAATGATATTAAAGCCAAACATTGAATATTGTACTAATATTCACTTTCAGTATAAATAACATTTAGTCGTGTGATGTCCCACATTAGTTGGGGAGAAGAACAAAATACCCTTTATAAGAGTGTAAAAACTTTTCCCTAACAAACGCGCTTTAAAGCCTTAAAGGAGAAACTTAAAAGGGAAAGCCCAAAGAGGACAATATCACCTAACGGTGGATCTGGGTCGTTACAAGTCGACTCGGGTATACGAACCTAACCCAAATCGGTTCACAACCAAATATTTTAAAAATTGGTGGATCTGGGTCGTTACAAGTCGACTCGGGTACCCAAATGGGTTCACAACCAAATATTTTAAAAGTGGGTGGATCTGGGTCGTTACAAGTCGACTTGGGTATACGAACCTAACCCAAATCGGTTCACAACCAAACATTTTAAAAGTGGATGATCGTAAACGAATAAACCTCGAAAACTTCCAAATTAAAATTCGAATTTTGATGAAATTGAAAATGTTGTATATGAAGTTCCAATAGCGTGACTTATTAGTTGTGACTTGTATACCTCGGATGAAGTTATTATTAGCCCGCGATATTAGAAATATTGATGAGTCAATCACGAGTAGCTATTTTATGATTTTGTTGATACAAATTGGGCTTAAAAGAAAACTCAAAAACTTAGTCCATGGCCCAAAAGGAAAACAACTTTTTTAAAAAAAAAACATAATTAGTAATTCAAGTACGTAGGTCCATATTTTTAAACATTCAAACTCGATCAAATCTGGGATGGACTACGATAACACATTTAGTAGAACCGTCGAAAGCACGTTGAATCAAATGAAGAATCACCTTGACCCTCTCTATCATCTTCAAGCTCCCACCAACTTCAATCACAGCACAAAGCTTTCCCACAGCCCCAACCTCCACCATCTCCTCAAAAACTCCAAAATTCCCAACGTTGTTCTTACAAACGTTGTACAAAATCCTCACCGCCTTCTCGTTCGTCAAATTCGACACTCTGAGAATCTTCTTAGCCACCACGGCAACCCCGCCACCGTGTCGGAGCAGCTCAACTCGTCCCTCATTCACAAAGGCGGTCCAAGGTGGCCATGGTCAGCTCACACTCACGTGGAATAGAGGAGCTTAAAAGCAGCTGGATGAGGTGGAAAACGGCGCCGTGTTTGACGGCTTTGAAGCGGTTCCGGCCATGTGGGGCCAAGTGGAGGAGGATTTGGAGAGATGGGTTGGTGGCAATTTGGTCGGATAAGGCTCGTGTGAGGTGGATGAAGAGAGTGTCTTGTGTGAAGGTTTTGTGGGTTTGGTCGGAAATGGTGTAGAGGGAGCTGAGGAAGGTTATGGCGGCGGCGCGTGAGATGGAGGATTTGGTTATGGTGATTATGGAGATTAGGGTTTTGGGTTAGGAGGTGTTTGAGGAGAGTGGTGGGTGAGTTGGTGTTTGAAAGGATTTCTATGGCTTCTTCTATCATGGATTCATCATTATTGTTTATGTGACTTCCTACATTATCACCGACGATAAATAATAAGAACGAGTTTCAAATTCGAAAGTAATTTTGTATGAAATCATTTGAAAATCAATTCACATACCAATTTTCTATAAGGATGCTGAAAAAAATCGATAACTTGAAAAACTCAATCAACTCAAATCGTCGCACGAGTTGGTTAGGATATCAACTTGTTTGAATTGAGTTGGGTTCAAATAAACGTTTGAATGGTTCGTGAGTTCTCCTAAAACTAAATTTAATTGACTAAATTAACCTGAATTTATTATTAATTTTAAAATATACATATTTTGTTAAACACAACTTTCTGTAAGAAACACTTGGGTAGAATATGCTTGGAATTTATTGGGATATAAATTAAGTAGGGTGAAGGGGTATTTATATAAGTAATCAATTTCAAATTTTGAACGTTTTTAATATCTAAATCATTTATCTAAATTTATTTCTAAAATTCCTAAATCATTTTCCTAAAATCCTAAATTATTTTCTTAACGTAAATATAGTCTCTCAAACAATGGTTGACTTAACTCTATTGGGCTAGTTAGTTATGATATTTTAACATGTTTTTTTATATACACATGCATTTATTTAATTTTATTAATATTATTATTATTTATTTGTTCCCGATTAACTCTTAAAAATAATTTTTAAATATTTAAAAAGTAATTTTTAAAAAATATATATTTAAATTAGAAGAGTTTAACTAAATGTTTAAAAATAAATAAATAACAAAAAAAAAATAAAAATTTGAATAAATAATCTAACCACTCAACTTACGTACTAGACATAGTATCTTTTTTGGGTTTTTCCTTTCCGACTTTCCCTCTAAGTCTTTAAAATGTGTTGGAGAGGTTTCCACACCCTTATGAAGAATTGAGCTCCCACATCTCATTGTCTCTTTAACAAGCTTAACAACCTGCCCTCTATCAACCTCCCCTTTAGGGGTTGGGATCGGCTCCACCCCGTCGCCCGCGTTGAGACTGCACCACCCTCGAATCAGTCGACGGAGCGTATGGTTCGGCGTCAAATCCAACTCGCTCAGTGGTTGCTTTGTCACGGGGCAGCTCGGGATGACGACATGTCGGTTTTTGTAGGATGACAGCCATTTCTCTATGCTCTCTCTATCGTACGTGATTCCTGTCGAGATTATCACCGGGTCTCGCATGATTTGTAGAGATATCGGGCATAGAAAGTCTGAAGGAACCTCGACCGCCATGGATGAACCTCTCAACAAAGGTTGCTGTTTTGTGAGCTTGAAGCTGCCATGGGCTATGAGGGTTTTATAATGCGATGGAGATGTGACTGAAGGAGGTTGGGGAGTTTACCCTCTTAAATTCGAGTCAACCGAACCGAAAAAAATGTAGTTGACCGGTGGAGGATAGAAATTGTCAACGTGCTTCGTTTTTTTTGTATTTAATGATGATTATAGGACAAACGTATTTTTAGATTTGCATCTAACGGTTATTAAGAAGTAGTGATAGTCTCATTGAATAATTTGCCCAAATTTATTGATAACGATTTCACAATTTGAAATATTTATATCGAACATAGGCTTACATTTCTAACTAGCCATTGGATCCCGAATCTACGTGTTTTCTAAAAACAATATCGTGTTATAAAATTGTAAGTCAGATTGTATCGATCCTTTTGAATAATTTCTCGAGTAATTGAGAAGACCTTTTCAACCGGAGAGAAAAGAAGTTAATGAGAGCTCAAAAGTCTCGACTTTGTCAAAAAAGGATTATTATGATAAATGAGGTGGAACAATGAAGTCTTGAAAGGGTACGTCCTCCTTGTATTATTGGTGTTGCTACGTCTTGAGATCCTCATTGTCATGATTCTGCTCCATCACAAGTACCAATTGTGAAGAATAACCATTTTATATCGAGAGTCTAGCCTCTTCTTCGATCTTATCTACAGTTTTGTTCCTCAACTCCCTGCAGCTCTGGCCGCTCGCTATAATAGCTTGATTTTCTAGTGGCTCGTACTTCTGGTGGTGCGGCATTGTGATGTCCCATATAGGCTGGAGAGGAGAACAAAACATATTTTATAAAGGCGTTGAAATCTTCCCTAGCAAACGCGTTTTAAAATCTTAAGAGGAACCCCGAAAGCAAAAGCCCAAAGAGAACAATACTTGCTATTTAAAAAAGAAACATTTATAAATTTTAAGTTTGTTTAATTTTTTAAATATATATTGAAATTGAATATATTATATTATATTTTTGTTTAAGATATATTATCAAGTTTATTAAAATATTTTTAATTTTTTAAGAAGAAATTATATTAGATAATGATTATTAATTAAAGATTTATTTGAAACCAATATTTTAATTATATATACACAATGAGAAAAAATTCTCGAAAAAATTGAAATAGAAAGTGGACATATCTATTGTTTCTAATCCTTATGTTCTTTAACCCTAAATTGTCTGAACCGGTTTGATCGTGATTTCGGGTATCGGATCTTCCGAAATTTTCACAATCGATCCCTTCCCCCTTCTTCAACGGCACAGCTTTTTCTCAGGTATGCTTCAGCCGGGTGTTTGATCGGATAACTTCAGTTTCCGGCAAATAGAGGATCAATTTGGACTCTCCGACTCGAGTGAAACTGAAACAGGACCCAACTTTTTATGGGTGAGGCCAATAAGTCCACCTCCACTGCCGAGGAGGACTTGCTTCTCAAGAGCTTCTTCGCAGAAGTCAGCGAAGTCGAGAGAGATAACGAAGTTATCAGGTCTCCTTCTCTCTCTTTTTCTGTTTTTGTTTTCTTTTCTTTTAATCCCCAAGCATCGTTTTTCTGTCTTGTATTTGGGGTGTATGTCATTAATTTCAGAGTTAAACAGCATTAGGGTTTGTTGGGTTTTGGCAATGTTCTTAGTTTGATGATTGAAATAAACACACTTGGTTAAAACGACGATTTTGTTTCTGAATTTATAGTCTTTTGATTGTATTTTCGGTGTTCTTTTTGCCTCGTCGGAAATGAGAATCTGGATTAGTATGGCTATGGGATGCTTTGTGAACGTTTAGATTGTATTGATATATTTTCCACCGGAAGATTTTGATTGTATGGAATCTCTTCGAAGCGCGAACTTAGATAGTTAATAGTGGGCGATGAGAACTCAACTTTGTTCCATAGAGTGGTGTCTTTTGAAAGAATAAACTTCATTGCAGAAGTTTCTTAAGTGAATAGATGAAACTTTTATATCTTCCGACGATGAGGTTCAGAGAAGAAATTTGTGGATATCTTTAAGAAGTTCATGGCGCCTTTCTTGAGATCCAATCTCATATTGTAGGAAAAAAATTATGGCACAACTGTTTATTGAAGAGGAAGCTGAGAAAGTGAGTGAATAGTGAAGACATAGGATCATATAAAGTGATTTGCCCGGATGGACCTGTGATAGAACTTAGTGAAAAGGGTGAAACATACGCCCCAGTTAATATTATCAATAGAAATTTCATTTGTGCAGCTTCTTTTTTATTAGAAACAATTTCATTGATGTGTGGAACTTACAAAAAGGATGGATAATCCATGAAGGTTACAAAAAGCTTTCCCAATTGGTCATCACAGAAGCATAAGCGTATGAAGCAAAGAGATTAGTCATTATACACCAAGAAATAGCATAATAGATGACAAGACCAGAGTACACTTCAAAGGATTACTCTTTTTCCAAAAAAGAAACTCATTGGTTTCTTTCTTTTGAAAGAACCCAAAAGAAGGACTGAGTAATACCATAACAAAGCCTTGGCATTCATGAAAGGATGCCCCAACAGAACAACGATGAGAAGATCCTATATGTCTCTAGGAATAGCCAAATACCATCCAAAGGAATCACAAGTTTTTGTCCAAACTTCCGTGCAAATGAACACTGAATAAGGATATGGTTCGGGATTCATCATCAGCCTTACACAAAGAACACCATACAGGTGATAAAGCCAAGTAGGGTATACACCTTTGAATGACATCTTTGGTGTTGATGATGGCTCTGTGCCAAATTTCCCATGGGAATTTTTTTTTCTTTGGTCTCCTTCCATATGCCAAAGATGTCTCCATAAGCCAAGTGGTATCTCCCATATCTAAAATAAATGGTTTTGTAGAGAAGTGACCATTAGAATTAGAGGCCATCTCTAAGTATCCTCGAGTTGTGTGATTATAATTGGGTCAAGGTCAAGGTTGAGTTCTGCCCACTTTAAAGCCTCTACATCCTTTAAGTTCCTCCAAAGTCTAAGGACCCAAAAACTATTGGTGGTGTTCCGAACTTCTTTAATCGTGGCCTCTTTACAGAGAGAAACCTTGGGGGTAAGTGAGAAGCCAAGGGGAAGCTAGTCACCCAAGGATCGGTCTAGACAAGTATATTGATTCTATCACCAACTTAGTGACCAATGCAATTGGTAATAAGGCTTTGTTGTTTTACAATGTTTTTCCAAGGACCTTTGACAACATAGCCCAATTTAAGTAAGTCGACCCCTACTTTTCTCTTTAAGTTCCTCCACATAGCATTTTTTTTTTCTTGGTTGGATCGTGATTATCATTTTGCAAGAAATGCTTTGTTTTTGTCTAACATGGAATGTAGTCGAAGGCCTTTTTGGACAAGTGGATAGATAATATTACTCCATCTAACAAGATGATGCCCATATGCATTTTATTCTCCTTTCCATTGGAAATTTCTAAAATTTCTTGGGCTACTCTAAATCCTAAATTGGCTGATAAGTGTCTCCCATCAATATTGAGTGGAAAGGCTATCAAATTGCCACTTTTCAAGTATACCTGTGTAACTTCTATTATCTCTTTCCTTCCCCTCAACAATGGTCTCTTGGAATGTCAAAGGCTTGGGAGACTGGCAAAGTGAGCCCTGCTCGCCTCCTCAATTGCAATCCCACTATGATCATTATTTAAGAAACAAAATTGAATTTTGTTGATCATTGGGTTGTTAAATTCGTTTGGAGTGCTAAACATATTGATTGGACATCTTTGGATGCCTCCAGAACATCGGGGGGATCTTAATGATGTGGAATGACCCAACTCTGACCATCTTCGAATGCCAAAGGTCTTTAACCCTAACCACACATATTACTATGGTAGACGGTTACAGTTTTTGGACAACAAGGATCTATGCCCCCTGCAGATACCAAGAAAGACCCATATTCTGGTAGGAATTACAGGACCTAACTTGCCTCTGCAGAGAGAACTGGCTTTTGCCCGGCGACTTTAATATCTCCATGTGGGTACATGAAAAATCTAGGTGAGAAGTCATAGAGGCATGAGACATTTAAATAACTTCATAAGAGAAGCCGAACTCATTGACCTTCCCCATGGCAATGGCCTTTATAGTTGGTCAAACAACAAATTCTCATCTACTTTGACACTCATTGGCAGATTTATGGCTATCAACGGTCTTCTAAAAAAATTCATTAATGTTGGTGCCTTTCCATGGGTTGCTTTAATTGGGCCCCATACCCTTTCATTTTGAGAATATGTGGCTAGACCGCACTAAATTTTTTTGCCAGTTGCAGAATACTAGTGGAAAAACATGCCTCATCGTGAAAGGTCAGGACATGGATTTATTAACAAACTCAAAAGACTAAAAGAAGTCATCGAGAAATGGAATAAGGAGGTTTTCAGTTGTATTATCACNAAAAAAAAAAAAAAAAAAAAAAAAAAAAAAAAAAAAAAAAAAAAAAAAAAAGACAACACCTTACATAAATTGCTAGACTTGATCAAATGGAGGAAACCAACTCTATCATATTAGTTCAACACACGCATAAAAAGCTCATGAAAGCTGAGCTTATCTCGTTGGCAACAAAGAAAGAGAAATCTTGGAGACAAAAATGTAAAAATCGATTGGTTCAAGGAGGACGACATAAACTTTAGATTCTTCCATTGCATCATGGCCTTAAAAAAACGAAAGAGTACCATCATGGAAATTCTATCGGCATAAGGTAGAAGTTTAGTTAACCAAGATGGAATTGCTAAGAGTTTGTCCTTTTACACATCTTTATATACAAAGGACGATGCCCCTATCGAATTTTCCCACGATCTTGATTTGATCCTAGTTGATCAACAATGGGAGGTTGCTTTCACCGAAGAAGAGGTAGGGAAGGCGGTAAAGCTCTTGGGCTCGGAAGAAAACTCCGGGACCGGATGGTTTTACCTCAAAATTTTAAAAGAGGTGTTGAAACATTGCGAGGCAGATATCATGAGAGTGTTCCAAGACTTTTTCTTATTGGAATTATCAAGGGAAACATAAATGAAACATACATATGTTTGATTTCAAAGAAAATGGATGCTCATGTTGTTGTTGACTTTTTGCCCCATAAGTCTTACGACCGAACTATACAAAATTATAGCAAGGGTGCTATCAGAACTCCTCAAAAGGGTTATCCTATTGACGATTACTAAACAAACAACATTTGTAGTTGGACATCAGATCCTTGATAAATCCCTCGTGGCAAAAAAAAAAAAAAAAAGGAAACAAATAAGTGTATTCATCAAACTTGACTTGGAAAAAGCCTTCGACATGGTCAATTGGACTTTCCTCGAACATTCTTGTAGCAAAAGTTTTTGGCGCAAAATGGTGAGGGTGGATAAAAGGTTGCATCTCATTCACAAACTTCTCCATCATCATTAATGGAAGACCAAGAGGAAAAATCTATGCTACTTGGGTTCTTTGACAAGCGGATCCACCATCTCTTTTTCTTTTCATAATGGTAATGGATTGCCTTAGTTACTTACTCACCAAGGCTAAATAAGAAGGGCAGATAAAGGACTTTCAAGTTGGAAACAAAGGCTTAGGTATATATCACCTTTTGTTTGCAGATGACACAATCCACTTCTCTGATGTGACAGATGTCTCCTCCATCAAAAATATGTATGAGATGGCAAAATTCTTCAAAAGATTCTGAAGACAAAACATCAACCTTCAGAAAATAAAGATTATCGGCATGAACATTACAACAAAAAATATCAAAGACTTTGCTGGCAAATATGGTTGTAAGAAAGGCTAATGGCTAAGTATGCACGTGGGATTACCCTTAAATGGAAACTCCAAATCCTTCTCTTTCTAAAAGACCATTATTAAATAAATAGAAAGAAGGTTATCATCATGGTCATCATGTTACACTTTTAAGGTAGAAGGCTCAAAGCCACGCTGTCCAACATTCCCAATTACTACATGTCTCTATCCGAAATACCTTAGAAAGTGGCTATGAAAATATAAAGATTATTAAGAAACTATTTGTGGAGTAGAGTGGCTATGACCCACACCCTGTCGGATAGAATATCATAAACTACAATCTAGGTTTGTCACATGTAAGACAGAATTTTGTAGTAAATTGTGGATTACTCTAAATAAGCCTGTCTTCAATACCTTGGAGTAAGCTATCTGCAATCTGTTTTCGGCTCCTTTTGTTTGGACCTTTTTTTTTATGCCTTTATATTCTTTCCTGTTTTTTTTTTTCTTTTTTCTTTTTTTACAAAATCTCGGTTTCTTACACACACGGAAAAAAAAAAAATAATAATAATAATAATTAAGGCCTCATTGGGTTTGTTTCTTTCAACCTTTATTTTCTTAATGACCCGGTTTCTCATTGGCAAAAAGATGATAAAAAAAACCCTTTTGGCAATGTTTAACTCATTAGTGAAAGTCCACTTGGTTTTGTGAAACTCAGGTATACTTTATGTTGGACCTGCCTCCTTAACATCTCTCTGCTTCTTTTCAAAGTGGGACAAGAAAACATGGAGAATAAGATAGAAACTAAAATTTTGAGAGAGGTTGAAGTATTATCATGCATTTGGACACATACAAGGGAAATGTAGAAATCTAACATGGAAATGGGAAATTTTTGTGGGACCCAATATCATAACGATTAACCATAAAAACTTGCTCATTGGGAGATTGGAGAGAAATATAATTTGAAGGTAGGAGAAGGTATAGTAGGAAGTTTGGGATTGATGTTGCAATGTCTCTACTTGATGATTCAATTGAATTTTCTTACAATCTCTTTTTTTTATTTAATTTCTTTTCTTTTAAAATCTGATCCAATTAAAAAGCATTTTTTTTTTAACTAATCTTCTTCGCCCCAATGTCCAACAAGGGTACCTCGTTTCTCCTTTTGTGCATGATCCTGTTGATAATAATACAATATTGATCATCTTATTTCATGTACTGTTTTCAAAGATGATGTTAGGTTTTTTTCATCTTTTGTTACTGTTGGGACTTACCTCTTTAGGATCTTGTCCTGCTTCAAGTTGAATCCATTCGAGTATCTGAAGTTACCATTTGATGTGTCCCCAGAAGAGGTGAAAAGGCAATATCGTAAGGTAATTGTGCTCAGCATGAAATCTGGTCTAGTTTCCTCCCAAGCTATACTGGTTCTGTATTTTAGAGTTCATCTAATTCACTTAAAAATATCTAATCATTTGTAGTTATCATTGCTGGTTCACCCTGATAAGTGTAAGCATCCACAAGCAAAAGAAGCATTTGGAGGTATGTTGATTTATGATATCAATTTTGTGCAGTTTAATGTTTTGCATTCAAGGTTATTTAGATATTATTTAACTGTTTATGCATGTAATATCCAACTAAAATTACTTTGTTGGTGCTGATCAGCATTGGCAAAAGCCCAGAAGCTATTACTTGATGAGCAAGAAAGGGATTATATTCTTAGCCAAGTCAATGCGGCAAAAGGCAAGTGAACTAATGCTTTTAGTGAGATACCAAAAAGAATGGGACTACACATACTGGAGATGAGAGAGAAAACTAAGCTTTTGCCTACCCATATCTCTATATCTTTCCGTTGCGTTGCATTTTAGTTGACAGTTTCTTGATTGCTTTCCACATAGTAGGTACATCTGATCAAGTGATATTTACGCATGCCACCATATGATTTAGGGGAATTGATATTTACGCATATTTAGATTACACTATCCGTTGTGCCTGTAGTAGACCGACTTGATCCTGGTTTAAGTATCATAATCCCGAACTGTCGTCTGGAAGAACAAATAAAACCTATAACTATTCTACAAAGAAAAATTTAACCTTCACAAAATGTAGGCTTTTATTTATTTATTTATTTTTTAATTTTTGTGAAATGAATTTGGTTAATAAATGAAATGCAGGAAAGGCCAAAGCCTACCAAATCCCAGGAATCACATAAACATCATAAATGCATTCCTGGTTGCTTTTTTTTTTTATCCGTAGGTCGTGGAAACTAATAATTTATATCTACAATTTTAGTGACTAACAAAGCTACGGCTGAAGAGTTTAAATTGGTTCTACAGTAATATTTTTCTGAAACAGTGAACTAGTTTATGTCTTAGTGTAATTCACTAATTTAAAAGACCTTGGTTTTGGTCTTACCTCAGTGTCCTCCTGCCTAGTGTCTAGCTTAGCAACCTTGTCCATATTTGGTGCAGTAAGATCCGCGTCCATTTGTGCTTACATATTAAAACTTGGTTAAATGTGAGATAAGAAGTTGGCCTGAAATGCATGTAGAGTCTAGGTTCTCCTAATTACAAGGTTCATTTACGTGGCCTTGGTCCTCAAATTTCTGGATAGGCTGAGTTTCATTGCCTGTGGATGTTTTTTCTTCAGTTATGTTACTTGTTTTTCCCCTTTTCTTTTCTGGAGCTCTTGGAGTTGGGAAAAATCTTCACTTGTACTTATTTTGAACTTCAGAAGAACTCCTAGCAAAGAGGAAGAAGCAGTTAAAGAAAGATACAGCTTCTAAAATAAAGTCATTGGTCGAAGAGGTGAGCTGAATTCCCTTTTCTTTTCACATTTCATTGTTACTTTGTGTTTTACTTGCAATATCAACCGAATCCATTTATGGCTCAAATCTAGAGTTGGTTTGTGAGACTGCTACCATTTAATTTGTGTGAATTAACAGAGCTCACTCCCTTATCATGTTGTGAATGAAAAGTTTTGTGAAAAAATTGAGCCACGTATGTAGTAGACATTTGGGAGAGTTCTAAATTAATATAAAGCTAAGTTACGATAAAGGTCAAGTAATTAATAGGCGTCTATAACTAAGATTTTACGTTTATTTACAATAATATTACATCTAACATGTAAAATTCATCCTCAAACTGGCCTAATTTGTTACAACAGTAACCGAATCACCCTCTCTGTAATGGCTTTGTGAGAAATCTTCCATTTGCTCTTTATTCTTTATTGACAATGCATTTAGCTTGCTGACGAAATACTGAAATTGAATCAATATAAAGGTAACTTGATTGATACTGCAAATTGATTGGACCGTTGGAATTATGATACTATGAGTTGACGTATTCACATGATTTATGTATAGTATTTGTCATAGTTTTGTAATTTGATGCCTGTGACCTCTTATGCCTGTTGATTTGGCACAGGGAAAATACGACCAACAGTATGAGAGTACCGAAGAATTCAAGCAAGAGCTAAAATTGAAGGTTCGAGAAATTTTAACAGAACAAGAATGGAGGAGGAGAAAGATGCAGATGAGGGTATGCAGGACGCTCAGATAATTTGATATTCCTCTGGATTTCTTTTAATTGCATATACTTGGGAAGGATTATTCATTGTCTATATTGCTTTTATTGCATTTAGATTTCTGAGGAAGAAGGCAGATTGAAAAAAGATGAAGAAGAAACAAAAGAAATGTGGAAGAAAAAACGTGAGCATGAGGAGCAGTGGGAAGGAACAAGAGAACAGAGGGTTAGTATTTAACTTTTCTATATTCATAAACACAATAGATCTAGTTTTGCTATTCTTTTGGTTCTGTAAGACTGTAGAATGAGTAATTTTGCCTGTTGGTATGCCATTGGAGGCAAGAGAAGACGACCATTCCGAGAGATTCATGCCAATGATAGAGTACGACGTATAAGCTCATACCCTTATGTGAGCTTACATGCGCTAGCCTCCCTGCACGTGCCGATGTCTGCCTCACTACTCTATTTTCTTTTACGGGAAAAAGTTTATACTTTGTTCTTCCAGTTTTCTGGTTCTATTATCTGGTTTAACTTAACACCTTCAAGTTTTCTGGTTTACTAACGAGTGATTAACATAACGTCATAACATGAATACTTGACGCAACAAACACATGGAGGAAGCAATATCTTTATGCTAAATGTTCAACTTGGAGCTAGAACATGAGTTCTGAACCTCTGATTCTTTACCAAATTATGTACGGAACAATTAGTTTAATTTGCATTTATGCCTTTCCCTTCATCAGGTTTCAAGCTGGAGAGATTTTATGAAGGGTGGAAAAAAGGTGAGATGGTATACTCAGGTTGCGTTGAAGTGATGAATGCATGCGACTGAAATGGCCCAAATTTGAAATTTTTGTTTGTGTTACAGGCTAAGAAAGGGGAAACTCGACCGCCAAAGCTGAAGACTGAGGACCCCAACAAATCATATGTCCAGCGGCCAGTAAAGCGAGGTTAAATGAATGTACTCCGGCGAGTACTCCGGCGAATAGTAGGGGAGATTGTGGATGTAGGCTGGCAGTATCAAATCTTATTACTCGCCTGTAAGCTACATAGTTAGAATGCAAATCGTATCTATATAAACATCAAAGCTGTAAAATCTTCTTACTAAAATTAAAAGGATTGTTTTAATTATAGTTCCGTGTAGCGACCCGACCTATTTGAATAGTAGAATGATGGCTACTTGAAAGTAAATGAAAACGAGTTTACTTTTAAAAGAGAGTTCAAAATTAAAATCGTAAAATCACATTTGAGCGTCCTAGAAATTTACATTTGTTAAAAATTGAAGAGAAGTTCACTTAGAAAGTCTCAAAGTTTGTTTGCGTCCTTTCTAGGAGAACATCATAGGATGGTAGTTGTAGATGGATAGCAGAGCCAACAAAATGATGGTAAGTTCGATTAGTTAGACCAAAATCCGTCAAAGGTAAGGTATTTAGGTTGAGAGTAAGTTTCAATAAAAGATTCATGGCCAATTTCTCATTACAATGTTCTCGACTCCAAAACTCGGTGAAGGGTCAACCCAATGGCTTTTATGAGTACATAAAGGAGGCTCAAGGGTTTGTTAAGGAAGGTGGCAAGAGTCAGGGATAAATTGAAAGGCGTTTTCTAGTCCCCTAAACTGGGTGATACTTCTGTGGGGTGTGCTACGACCAAGTCATGCACAAAACTTCAAGTTCTTTGGTTTAAAGCAAATGTCATGGTTTACTACTTAATTCAAATGGGAGCACATGTTTGCCCTTTTCCTTTGAGGCCTACGTCCCATCTACGTAGCTTTGTCATATTCCTCCGGGTACAACAGAAATGAACAATAATTATTTTTTTATGGATGCATTGTTTATTAGGGGGTTGATTTTACATGTTTCCATACAACTTTTTTTCTTGATGAACTATTGGGCCACACATAAATGTGCACACACGAATACAAATGAAGGCTTAAAAACGTACCTTCGAATTAAAATATGATTCAAAACTATTTCATTTCATTCTTATGTGATGTTGAATCCAGGAATATGTGAAAATGTCGATTTATTTCTTAAGTTAATGTCAAAGCTCGGGAAATAAAAAAAAATGGATCGAACTGTCAACACGACCACAAAAATTTATCATTAACATTTTAATTTTTTTTTTTTTAGGAAACAAATTATTAATTTTGGGAAATTGAACAAAATCTTAAAAACTATTTTTGTCGTCCATTTGTGACCTGAAGAAAGAGAGAAGACGAGTGTCGTGGACGTGACACGCGCTATAAAAAAGCGCGTGGGGAAATATGAAAGCATAGTTGTCCCGACCCCATCGGATTTTGAAGCAAAAAAAACACCTTGGAAGAAGGAGGTGAAATTTTCGGTTTAAGAAAACAAAGAAACTCCAATCCGTCTTCGGTAATTCCGGTGACCAAAGTCCTCCATTTCCACCCTTCCGTCTTCATTCCGCCGCCGCCGTTCCTCCTTCCCACGGTGTTTCCTAACATTGTTACGATTTTCATTCTGTCCTGAAATCAAAGCTATTCGTCCATGGAAGACGTGTTGTTGTTGTTGTTGTTACGTTCATTGTTGCAATACCGGTAATTTTTTTTTGACTGAATTTGGGCTTTGTTGGGAGAGAGAAAACTTTGTATTCCTTTCTCTTTCTCTCTTTTGCTTTTGTATTGTACGTATGTTTTTGAGGGGGTCTTGGAGATTGTCATCGGAGTTTTGATTCTTCTTTTTTGCTTCTGAGCTTTATCGCGTGAAGCGAATTACGAGTTAAGAGGTAAGGAGGTTGTGGGGATTGTGTTTTCATTGCAGCGATTTATTGGGAGATTGATTGAAACAGAGGACTTTCGAGCTCTAGGGTTCCGGCGATGGGATTTGGTTGGAAATTTGAATGTTGATGGAGATTCGTGTTTGTTGTGAATTCTCGTTTGGATCTCTTTGGTAGGGGTTGAATCAGAGGGTTGATGGGAATGGAAGTTGATTCGTCTATGTTGTCCGAGGTTGATCACGATCTGGCGCAAGAACAGGGCACGGCGTCGCCACCTGCGGAAATGGAGGGGGACCAGGTTGGGGAGCAGCCTCCTGGGGGAAATGGATCTTCAACTCAGTCGACGGCGACGTCCCAACAGCAGGCGTCATCTACGCCGCAGGTTCAGCAAATCCCAGTTGTGGGGCCGAGACATGCGCCAACATACTCGGTGGTGAATGCTTTAATGGACAAGAAGGAAGATGGCCCGGGGCCGCGCTGCGGCCACACGTTGACTGCGGTGTCGTCTGTTGGTGAGGAGGGGACTCCGGGATACTTAGGGCCGAGGCTTATCTTGTTTGGCGGTGCCACTGCTCTCGAGGGCAATTCTGCAGCTACAGGGACACCTACGTCCGCTGGAAATGCTGGCATCCGTATGTTTCTCTTTTCTTTTACTTTTTGGTTGTTCCTTTCCCTTTCTCGGTTGCAAACTGAAGTTTGTTGCTTTTTTGGTTGCTTCTTGGTGGTAATACCATCTGAAAGCTGTTTGCACGCAGCCTTTTGGGTTTCTGTTCAATTTGGATTTTTATATAATGTTCTTGTGCGTGCTATTTGATCGAATTACTTCCTGCTCTTTGCATGTTCCAATATTGAACTAAAGGTTAATCAATTTTCCAGTTCTATAGAACGTGCTGATTACTCAGTGTTATCAACTGACGTTGGGCTATGTAGCAGATGATGTCTTCAATCTGAAGATCCCATCTCCACACCCCCCACACGCTCTTCCTCTCTCTCACACACACAAAAAGAAAAAAAAGAAAAGAAAAAAGATGTATGTTCTTGGAATTGCTCTTAATCAATCAGTTTGGGTTATGAATCCCTTTTGGCATTGATAAAAATCATCACAAATTTTGCAGATATTCTTAAATAATTGATTACGATATTCAGGTCTCTACCTTCTGTCTTTGAGTATAATATTTGAGGTTTTTACCCTACGTGTCAATCCACAAGCTGGACTCCCTCTCTGAAATATAAATGTTTTAAGTTGCTTACTCTTGTACTTTTGTTCTAGTCTGCAGATAATTGTGCTTATGTTGAGTGCTGATGACATGAAATTCGACTTGTAGAAAGAGTTATTTGATTTGATTTTTATTTTTCTGAACATAGGGATCATCAATAATTGATACCTTAATTTTATCTGTAAATTTACTCCTAGTATTTCAATGTTTTTCTCTTTTATTTTATTTTACTTTAATGCTTGACAATTTTGTCTCACTAATTGAGCAGGATTAGCTGGTGCAACTGCTGATGTGCATTGTTATGATGTTTTAACAAATAAATGGACCAGGTAAGCCTCTGGGAATGATTTTTTCTAATCAGCTCGTTTTCCTTTACTTCTCATTGAATTACTACAGTCCATGGATTATTTTTTTAGGGTTACTCCACTTGGAGAACCACCCACCCCAAGGGCCGCACATGTGGCAACTGCTGTGGGAACAATGGTAGTTATTCAGGTATCTTGATGTTAATAATCCTATTAAGTTCTCATATACACAGAATCACGTTTTAGTTTCTATGATCAATGTTATAATTTATTTAGGCCCCTTTATTTCAATATAGGGTGGAATTGGTCCCGCTGGTTTATCTTCTGAGGATCTTCATGTTCTTGATCTCACTCAGCAACGTCCAAGATGGCATAGGTTAGAATTTTGAAGATGTTCTTGCTTGTTTGAATTTTACGTTTTGTCTCAATAATAGATGGATTCCAAATCCTGTAGGGTTGTTGTGCATGGTCATGGCCCAGGGGCACGTTATGGACATGTAATGGCTTTGGTGGGACAAAGATACCTCATGGTAGTTGGCGGCAATGATGGCAAGTTACTTTGTCTTATTTTAAATGAATATAGTAGTACATTTATAGTTTCTTTTTTGTTTCTTGGATAAGAAGTTTTTAATTGATGGTATGAAATTACAAAACAGGGGCAAAGCCCCCATCCAAAGGAGTTACATAAAACTTCTCCAATTGGAAAAGAGAGAGTTATAGCTATAGTGATGAAAGAGTGGAGATCATTTACACCATGAAACAACCAAGATAACGACAGCATGAAAAAAGAACTGTGAAATGAAAGCTCCTTATCTTGAAAGCTTCCTTTCTTGCCAAACACTCCAACCAAAGGCTCTTATGAAGTTCATCCAAATAAGCTTTTCTCCCTTTTGAAGGAGGAACCTCCAAGAGAGAGTTAGGAGGAAGGCTGGGTCATTATGTAGAGCAATGAACTATCCAAAAGTTTTCAGAATAATATCCTAAGAAGCATCACAATATCACATAACAGAAGCATATGGCCTCACGGATCCAAGCTATTCCTGCAAGGAGAGCACAATTGGATAGAGATAGACATATACGGTATTCTCCTTTGTAGTTTATCGTGAGTATTAATAGCTTTGTGGCTATTGCATTTATAGTTTCTTGAGAAGCATATTGCTTTTTTTGAGAAGCCATGTAAGCGTTCGAGTCAAGATGCCATATGGCATATTGCATTTGTTACTAGGTTTATTATTTTATTTTATTTTAAAAGAAACCAACAGGATATGTATTCAGAAAGGAAGAAAGGAAAGACAATCTATGGGCTGGGAAAGAGAGAACCCCCAACAGAAGAGTACAAAGAGCTTTCCACTCAATAAAAGTGAGAGAAAGGTACTTACAAAAGAATTTGCTAAAGCTATGACACCCCCATGGAACATTTAGCTGTACATCATCCCTACTAAACTCCGAAGGAGTAGACTTATCTTCAAAAACCTTCTATTCTGTTCCAACCACAAGCTTGAAAAAAGCGCTCTTGAGGAGAACTTCCCAGAGATTCAAACAACCACCCATCCACCTGATTTGGGAGACAGATTTGCACAAGATTCAATAATCTTTTCCAGCAATGTCAGCAAGGGGGCATGTATTACTAGGTTATAATCTGACTTCTTCACGATGTGAATTGTGAAGGCTGGGACAGAGAGTTTCCATATTTTTGCTTGGTTGCTTAATGCTTTTAGTTTGTGGAGGCGCATATTTGACATGCTTTGCTTGGGCAATGGGGTTATGAGAACCTTGTGAGTAGGCTGTTGAGATCGTGTACCAACAAGAGTTGTGGTGTGTGATATTTCCGTATTGTTTAAGTATCAACGAGCTTCAATTTAGAAGGATTTTTGGGTTT